CTGCTCACCGCGTCGCCCGGGATTTCCCTCCCGCCCCGCCCCGGCCGCGGTTCTGTGTGTGGTGTGTGTGTCCCCCCATCCCCAACACCCCCCCCAGTCCCGGACCCCGTTCCCGGGGGTGTGCGCGGTCCCAGCGGGGAGCGGGGCGTGCCGGGATCCCGGTCACCGGGAGCAGGGACCCCCTTCCTCGGGGGTGGAGGGGTCCCCACGTCAGGAGATACAGGGACCCACTTCCTAGAGGGGGTGCAGGGACACCCCCTCCCCTGTAGGGGACGGGGGACCCCCCCATCAGGGATGCAGGGAACCCCTTTCCAGGGGGGAGTCTATGGACCCCCCATCAGGAGATGGAGACACACCCCATTAGGGGTGCGGGGACCTCCCTGTGGAGGACAGAGGGGCCCCTTTCCCTGGAGATGCAGGGACCCCCCCACCAAGGGATACGGGGGTCCCCTGGCCCCCCGGCCCAGCCAGGCTGCAGGGGGGTGTCTCCATCCCACCTGGGCTTTCCTGCCCCCCCGGGTCACTGTAGGAAGGGGGATAACGGATGAAGAAAGGGGTGACTGAGCCCCTCAGGGTGCCCCCCTCGGACCCACGGCAGGATGATGCTCCCCGGGTCCACAGGCACTGCCTGACCCCCTCCTGGGCCGCGCAGGCTGCTCCTGGCCTCTCCTGATGGATTTTCTCCCCCAGGTCTGGCTCCCCTCTGCCCTCTGAACCCCCCCGGCACCCGGCTGCGGCCGGAGAAAAGCGTTTGGGGAAGGAACTGCTGGTCTGAGTCCTGCAGGCTCCGGGGCAGGGATGAGGAGGAGGAACAAGTCTGTGCATGTCCTGCAGGAACCTGCGGGGAGGATTTGGAGGGATCTGTGGCTTATCTGGAAAATCCATCCAAGTCCACAGGCAGGAAAGGTCCGAGCCCAGGGCAGCTCCTGCCGGGGTTAAACTGCAAGGCCGGAGGGCACCTACCCCTGTGCTGCGGAAGGACCCGGGTCAGTGGGTCTGATTCTGCCCCACGGTGCGAGAGCTGATGCCCCCGGGGTTGCTTACCTGGTGTACGGGGTGGGGGCGTATGCTGCAGCACCCTCCCGGCGTGGTGTAAGCCGCCCAGGCACCCCGGGCACCCCAGCTTGGGCAGCAAGGGTGTGACCGTGGTGAACTCCCGTGGGGCACAAGGAGGTGGGAGCACTCTTCCGAGTGACAAAGACCAGGTTAAAGCGGCCCCTTGGCAGCGCCAGGCACCCTCGAAGGCCCTTGGAGCTGGTGGGTGTTGGGGTGCTGAGCAAATCCCTCGGTGTGCAAAATGCTCGAGCATTTCCAGGCTGGACCAGCAGCTTCCCACCGGCCTGAGCAGCTGGAGAATATGTTTGGGCATGTTTGGCTGGAGGCTGCCACACGCCGCAGCAGCGTTTGCCATCACCGGTCCCTGCTCCGTGGTGCTGGGCCTTGGTGCTTGGGTCATTGTCAGCTCCTCGGCTGCCTCTGGGTGGGCACGGTGGGATGGGGAGGAAAGGTGAAAGGAGGATGGAGAATGTGAAAGCATCCTGAATTAATACTACACACTGCAGAAAATCCATCCTGGCAAATTGCGGATGCTCCTGAATCCAGCCTTTCTGTTCATAACCCGCAGGGAAAGGAGGGGGCGAGCTGGAACAGCCTTTCCTCGCAGGGAAGCTGTCGCTGCTGTTTCCCACGTGAGAATGGTTTTTTTTTGCTCCTGGTTGCAAGGAGCAGCTCTGAGAGCCGCAGTGCGGAGGGCTGGATGCGTCGCTGTGCGGGAGCAGCTCATTTCCCCGCCAACCGCCAGCCCCGCTCCAGCTGCGGGGTGCTGGTTCGCTCCCTCTGGGTGCGAGGAAGATGCGGTCGGCACTGAAGCGGAGCCCGACGGGCCGTGGGCTTCCTCCCCCGGCCAGCGCAGCCTCCAGCCACGACCTGGGGCTCTCGGATGAAGCACCATTTACTGAGAGGCTCCTCACCGCTTAAACCAGCTCTTTTTTTTTTTTTTCTTTTCACAAAAGCCCCCCTTCCCAAGTACACAAAAGGGAATAGGAATGTCAAAACCGGCAGCTTTTTAAATGAGCCCCCGAAGTGGCAGAGGAAGGAGTGGCCTTGCTTGTGCAATTCGCAGCGAACTCCAGTAACCGCTGATGAAAGGCGAGGGATTAAAAAAGCAGAGTGACACGAGACAATCGACCAGCCCAGCTGATGCGAACATCCCCAGTCACACAGGGCCTGTGCTCCAGTGCAAAACCAGCCAGAAAATAAATCAGATGTAGATTCTTCCCTTAGGGAAGTAGCTCTATAATTATCTCTGTGATTTTTTTGGTGGGGTGGGGGTCCACTCCCTGCACCCCAGGGTTCGGGGGGGGGCAGGTTTCTGGTTGCTGCAGACTCCACTCGTGTTCCCCTTCCTTGTGCTGGGAGCTGGGGAGCTCTGGCTCCGTGGTGGCATCACAGGAGACCCCAGCAAGGTTACTGGGTTACTGGAAATGGGAAGTGGGGAGATCAACAGCGTCAGGGTCTGGGTCAGAGAGTCCATGGTCAAGTCTGCAGTGGCATCATCACAAAAAAAGGGGAAAAAAAAAAAGTGTGATTAATACAGAAGGCGGTACAGGAACTTTGGGAAAAAAAAAAAAAAAGAATCCCACAGGTGACTCATGATGTTCAGCCCCAACAAGACGTAGTAGGAGGAGGTCAGAGGCGCGGGGCTGGCGACCAGGATCGGCGCCTTTCCTTCTCACCATTTATTGCCACCGCGGGGGTGCTGTCACCCCCCTCACCCCAGGCTCGCCCTCCCCGAGGGGTGTCCCAAACCCCCACCCAGGAGGGGTGTGACTGTGGGAGAATCCACCCTTGTAATTTGCTTGAAAAACCCATCGTAACACCTGGAAGCAAAAGGAACACATTAAATGAACGCATATTTCACGGCCTTCAAAGCAACCTTCTTCCCAGCACCGGGAGCACTGAAGCACCACGCGGCAGTCGCTGCCTGGGCTGGGGACCCTCGGGAGCGTTTCCCTCCCGGGGGAATCTCCCCAGGTGGGTCCCGCAGATGCCGAGGGGTGAGGAAGCCACTGCAGACATGGATGCAAATACATTATTCATAGCGGGCAGAGCTGGTGCGTGACTCAGCCCGTCCTCAGCGCCGGCACGGCCAGAGCCTCGTCAGGGGAACGTGCCCAGGCACATCACCTCTGACACCACGTCTCATCCTCTCTGAGGACGTGGGGAGCAGCACCCTGAAAAGCCAAAGGGGACGTAGGTGGGAGCTTCAGCTCAGAGTGGGGGGAATGGTTTGAGCTGGGTGAAGAAATCAGGGGTCGGATGCCCCAACCTCGAGTGGGAAGGTGGAGAACGGGGGAACAGGAAATCCTGACCCCAAAGCAAAGCACCAAACGTGCCAGGGAAGGATCTCG